CGTTTAATTGCTGATGAATAACAGTGAAAGTGGCTGAATTGATGCCGACGGGACTGGATCTTGAGCTTGTGATTAGGGCGTCCAATTCCCACGTGTCAGCGCGACATTGCGAACCAACAGCACTCGGAATTATTGGCCCGGAGGAATTTGATCGTTATCAGGGGAAATTATAGCGCACATTGGCTGACTCAGATTGACGACGCAATCAGTTCTTTGCAGCTTATCAGACCATTCCTCTCTCCTTTTTGGCTCTGGCTGGCTTGGAACTGCTTTTTCATCCCTGCCGCCACAATCTTTTAACCATTTCTACAAGGGGAAAGTCGCCGTGTGCCTGGCCCATAACGCCAAACCGCATTTCAGCAGCGCTGCCGATTTCGCAATCGCTGCACGTCGCCAAGAGCTGATTTAACAATTGCGCTCAGGCATAATTGACACCGAAGTCGCAAGACATGATACGATGCAATTTGTCCCAGCTATCGGTAACAGTTTCATATGTGATCCCGTTGTGATCTGTCATTGGTTCGAGATCGAGCCAATTGCGCTTGTGGTCAACGACTAACCTATGATGGAGGCTTTTAGTGGCTGCATGCCCCTGGCGTCAAACTCCATTGACGTGCGCGCCATCACCCTCAACCGTATCGAACTGCAGCCAACCCCAACTGCGCCGCTTAGTCTGACCTCGAATTGTCTGGGCCCTTGATAAAGTTGACCAGGGGGAAGCACCCCTTGCTTGCAGTCTTCAGTCGATTCATTAATGTCCCGCATTCCCCTCGCTTTTGCTTTTGCTTTTTGCCTTGATTGTCAAAACTTACCTTGTACTTGGTTCCATTATACTTCCAAAGGCTTCAAGGGCCATAGCCCGCCGATATGCCGCTCTACTCGGACGCCCCCGATGCGCGCCAGTTCTACGAGGATAAGCCGACGCTGCTTGTATCATGGTGGATCACGGTCTTTTGTGTGGCGATCATCCTGACGCGAATGTCGGGTCGATACGTACGAGTCGAGAAGCTGCTCAAGGAGGATAAGATCGCTGCCGGTGCGCTTATACCGTTGGTTCTAAGGGCTGTTTGTGTTCATTTTGTTCTCAAGAATGGAACAAATAATGTCAACTTGGATGGGTTGAAGTTGAGTGATGGAGATATCGATAAGAGGATCGTGGGGAGTAAGATGGTGCTTGCGAGCCGAGTCTTCTACGCTTCCATGTAAGTACACATCACTGATTGATGAGAATGAAGCTAATGACGTGCAGTCTTTGGATCCTTAAACTCACTACCCTCGAGTTCTTTGAACGTCTTGCTGGCGCTACTCGACGAAGATCACATCGTATAATGATCCACGCCATGCGTGCAACCCTTGCAGCTACATTCCTCGCCGTCCTTATAAGCGACCTCGCAGAATGTCAACCCTTCCCTCACTACTGGCAGGTCACTCCCGACCCTGGCCCTCAATGCCGCCAAGGCTTCGTGCAGATGCTCACAATGGGAGCTTGCAACGCCTTCACCGATCTTGTCCTCATCGCCTTTCCCATCCCCATCATCCTCTCCACCCAAATCGCCACCAAGCGCAAGGTCCTTCTCATCATGCTCTTCAGCTTCGGTTTGCTCACCGTCGGTATCACGCTATATCGCATCCCCCGCATCATCGAATCACATGGTATTCAAGTCGTCCGCACAATGTGGGCATCAATTGAGATCCTCGCCGCCACAGCAGTCGGCAATATCGTCGCGCTAGGCTCGTTCCTCCGCGACAGTGGTGTCAAGCGCAAGAAGTTCAAAGAGTCAAACAGTTACTCTGGCTACTCAAACTCGCGTTCCCAATCGCAGCCTACGAAACTTACCCGCACAGCTCACAGTCAGTGGGAGGATGAGGATCATGTTCGTACGACAGAGGGAATCTGGGCAAAGTCACATGACACAAGCGACTCGATCTCTAAAGATGAGGATTTGCGAAAGTCGGGCGAAAGACCTGTTAGTCCAACGCAGAGTCACGATTCGCTTATTACACGGGATGAATTGTCCGGGAAGATGGATCGTGATGACTTTGTGTATCAGCAACCGCCGACGGCTGTTATCGCGGGAGGATCTAGACAAGTTCAGCGCGCGCAGCCGACGAGGGATAATTGAATGCGATAATTATGTATATTTAGACATGACAATAATTACGATTTACTTTGTTGTACCGTTCAAGGCTTGTCAGTGATTACTCCATCGTCTCATGTAAGATTCAGTTTATTGTACGTAATAGCCCACCACGATGGCTTCAGGGACCAGGACCATCCCCGGACCCAGTGTGGATATAGCCAGATTCTCTCTTCCCCATGGGCAGCGAGCACGGGGGACGACTTGACGTGTCTAGCTAGGGGAGGAAACAAAAGTCGAGACCTTGATCCTAAATGACAAAAAGACTTACTTAGGTAGGTAACTTTACATAAATTTAGAATATCTACACTAAGTTTAGGATATCTTTTACTGAGTTTATTTTGGCACCCTATATGAAGGTCTTATGTTTTCTTGCTCCCCGAGGTCTAGAAAATGACCTTCCAGGTACAGACTGGCATGAGAATTGACGAGAGTTACAGAGTGAGGCAATAACCTTAACCCAGTAACAGTCAGTGCACGAACCAAGTGGAATCTCGCTGATCCCACTCAAGTGAAACGTTGCGCTGCCTCCCCCTCCTCGATTATCTCTGCCTCAACCGCATTTATCTTTCTTTCACTCACTCTCCCACTGCGCCGCATTTAAATCTCCTGATCTTCACAAACCAGACTGCATTTTTGGCGTTCTGTTAGTCCTCTTTTGGCGCACCCGCACCCCATCATTGGCTCAACGTCCCGACAATCTGCACCCGAAGTAAACCGCGCATATCCCAAAAGTCCTTCTAGAAGCTTTCCAGAACGCGCCCTTTTGAAGACTTTTCTTCATGATCGGCGTCCAACCCCCGTCGTAACGTCATTCCCTCCCCCGAAACTGTCATCTTTCATCCTCCCCCGCAACACAAACGATGAAAGATCCTCGCGATGCGCAAACAATGCAATCGTTCAATGTAGAAATGGGCTCCTCGTGGAGCATACACGCTCATAAACCACGGACCTCATGGCTTCATAGCTTTCGACGCGCAGATCCTCTTCCAGGCTATCACCCAAGCGATGCACCAGAGCGGTATTACGACTTGCGCGCCGCCAATGCCAAAACAGCAAATACAGCACTTGCGCGAGAATTAAAAGGTCGCCATCTGCAAATGATTGCTTTTGGCGGTGCAATTGGTAAGCCCTGACACTTTTCATGCTCGGCAAATCTCGGCTAATATGGTGTAGGAACTGGGTTGTTCGTCGCGTCGGGGGCGTCGCTTTACAGAGGCGGACCAGCGAGTTTGTTGATATCGTATTTATTGCTTGGGGCGATGCAGTATTGTACGATGCAGTGTCTCGGGGAGTTGTGTGTCATGTTTCCCATTGCAGGCTCGTTTTCGGCGTTTTCGACGAGGTTCTTGGATCCGTCTTGGGGGTTCGCCATGGGTTGGAAGTAAGCTGACTGAAAATCTTTGTTTTTCTCTACTAACTTTTGCAGTTACTGCTTACAATGGTTGTTCATTTTACCCTTGGAAATAATCGCTGGGGCGTTTACGATAGGGTACTGGAATCCAGATCTGACAAAGTCGATATTCGTGGCCATATTTCTCTCCGCTATTGTCATCATCAACTTATTTAGCGTCAGGACGTATGGCGAAGCCGAATTTATCTTTTCTCTTATCAAGATCACCGCCATCGTTGGCTTCATGTACGTCAAACCCCCTCTCATAGATCCTAGTATTAACGGTCTAGATTACTCGCCATCGTCATAAATGTCGGCGGGGAGCCCGAGAGCGGTTACATCGGCGGCATGTACTGGCGTAACCCGGGCCCCTTCAACAACGGCTTCAAGGGCTTTTGCAGCGTCCTCGTTACATCTGCTTTCTCCTTCACAGGCACTGAGCTCATCGGGCTCGCCGCCGCCGAGACAGCTAACCCGCGCAAATCGTTGCCGACGGCGATCAAGCAGGTTTTCTGGCGTATTACGATATTTTACATCGTTGCGTTAATGCTGGTTGGACTACTAGTACCCTCTGACGATAAAAGACTCGTCGGTGGTGATAATGTCGCTGATGCGACGGCGAGCCCGTTCGTCATTGCGATAGAGAAGGCTGGGACTTCTTTACTTCCGAGTATAATGAATGCAATCATCCTGGTGGCGGTGATCAGTGTTGGGAATTCAGCGGTTTTTGGGTCATCGAGAACATTGGCTGCTTTAGCAGAGCAATCGCATGCGCCACAGATCTTTGCATACGTGGACCGACAAGGACGTCCCCTTATGGCAATACTGTTCGCATCATGCATCGGCCTACTCGCATTTCTCGCAGATGTCAGTTTCCACGATTCCATCTTCAATTGGCTTCTCTCGATCAGTGCGTTGAGCACTTTGTTTACGTGGGGAAGTATCTGTTTATGTTACATCCGGTTTCGAAAAGCTTGGTATTACAACGCACATACGCTGGAACAACTACCGTTCAAGTCTCACGTCGGCGTCCCGGGAGCGTGGTTTGCTTTTGTTGGGTATATCCTTGTGTTGGCATCTCAGATCTGGATTGCGGTCTCGCCTGTTAATGAGCCTGGTATTGACAGGAGCGCATCGGGACTTGCGCAGAATTTCTTCTTGAAGGTTTTGGCGATACCCATTATCTTGTTGTTCTATCTATCTCATAAAATTTGGTACCGTACGCAGATCGTGCGTCTGCCTGATATGGATGTTGTGACGGGGCGGAGATACTTTCGTGTACATGTTATGGCCGAGCAGGAGCGCGAAGAACGACATGGCTGGCCCAGGTGGAAAAAGGTCTATCGGTTTCTCTGTTGATGTACTTGCATTGGGTGGCGTTTGCATAGCGATTGATAGATTTTGTATCCTGGATAGAGGCACAGCAATATCGTAGCATAATGAGCATTGCAGCGAACCTCTTCTCTAATTCATGTCTTTACGTGAAACTCACTACATAAAGGTTCTGATAAAATCCAGCCAACGCCATCCTCTATGACTTTATCCCATCTATTGAACGCCGATAATTTCTCCTCGTGCGATCTAAAACCATGAGGCAGCCCCAAGAAGAGGTTGATATCTGTCGGAACACTGAATCATGTCAGTTAAAATCTACAAAAAATCCATAACATCAGCTACTCACCCAGCTTCTGCCAACATCTTTCCATACAGAAGTGCCTCATCTCGAAGAGGATCCAGGCCTACTACACCAAGTACAGTAGGAGGCATCCCTCTAACTTGTTCTGGCGATGCATTCCCAGGGTTAATCTTTAAATCGTTGACATCCGGGTCCTCGATCTTTAACAGACTCGTGAACCAGCGAAGTTCCTCAACAGTAAGCATCGGTGCTGTAACATTTGTTCTGTAAGATGAGATAGACTCGCTCTTCATCTTTTTCAGCTGGGGCTCATAGCAATCAACGTGTGTTAGACAGGGGATCATGAGGACTTGTCCTGCGATCGGAGGTCTTTTCTCTGTTGCATGATTCAAATGTTTCTGTAGGGTGAAAGACGAAGCCATCCAAGCACCAGCTGATATTCCGCCAATAATGACTCTTTCCGGGCGCCAGAACATGGTCTCCATGTTATCGTGGGCCCACTCGAAAGTATCTTCAGCATCATTCCATTGCGTCGGATATGTAAACTCCGGCGTATGTCTGTAATCAACACTGAGAACCGCCACATTCGATCCAATGGCTATACGTGCACATATCGCATCCTCAGCATCCAGCGTACCGAACATGAATCCACCGCCCTGGAAGTGAATATACAATGGGAGTAGGGTTTGTTCCGGTGCACTAGCTGGTCGGTAGCTGCGTGCTTGTATGATGCTTCCATCGCGAGAGGATATTCTGTGGTTCTGTATCCGCAGTTGAGGCGCGAGTTTCATCATCGATTTTCTGGCGATAGCTTCTCGTTCTTGGTTCGCTATTCTTTTCATCTCCGCAATCGACAATTCCGGTACTGGTGGCGGAGGTAAGGATGCTTCGAGTGCAAGCCACTCGGGGCTTACCCCGTCGTAGCATGAGAAGTCAGACATTGAGAAGTCTTTGGTCAAAAATAGAGGAAGTCAATGTGTATAGACTATATACCCAAGACGTTGCTGACCGGCTCTTTGGTTTCCATTAGCCGAGGCTATTGGTGATCGTTGAGCGCTAGGCCGCGAAGGGGTAAGTATTATAGCTTTGGGAGGAAGATTCAAGTGACATTTTATGGATGCAATGGTAGTAAGAAGAGTCATGTAGGACTTATGTAAAGGTTTAATTATGCATAGATTGATTTGGAACTCTGAATCAATTAGCATTGCTTACAGAACTTTACGAGGATGAATTGAAAAGCTATTTCTGTCGCATAATGCGCGGTAACAACCATTAGGTAATCCACCCAGACGCGTCACGCGTCGATTATTCTGTTTATTGGCTCGAATATTCCAAATACTCTCCACCTAACCTCTACATAATTCATTTTCCGATATCGTGCGCAATGAGCATGGAGACACATTCTGATAACCAAATCATTTCACAGCTCACTTGCGATGTCGAGCTTAACCTCGGCAGGGTCATCCATGACATATCCCCAGCAACGTCATCAACGATCCATCCGGAGCGCTCTGCATCATCCTTGGGCTTGCTTGATGCTCTTCCAGCAGAGCTACTCGTTATGACACTGAATCTCCTGGACTTTCAGTCACTTTCGCGTGTCTCACGTGTCTCCCTGAGAGGCAAGAGAGTCGTTGAGGATTTTCTGCCGTATCAGCAGGTGATACAGCATGCACCCAAAGTTCCAACGGCGTTGACAAAGACGAACCTTGTTGGTTATTACCCGGCTTCAGAGGTATACCGCACCCTCAAAGCCTCCCGTTGCGTTTCCTGCTCAGACTTCGGGGCGTTTTTATATCTGCCCACATGCGAGAGGGTCTGCTTTGAGTGCCTCTTCCAAAACAGAGGACTGTGGATGATGACACTACCGATGGCTAAAAAGTACTTTGTCTTGACGCAACGACAAGTCCAAAGCCTTCATATTATGCGCATCATTCCCGGGACGTACTGTGTCAGGGGCCCTGAAAAGCTGCACCGCAAACCTTGTCAACTGGTCAGTGTGAAATCAGCTAAAAGGTTGGCCATTGAAATTCATGGCTCTTCACAACACCTGGCGGAGTTGATCCCGCAACCACCGGTAATATCCTTGAAAGAACATTATCTTTTTAAGCGCTATCACGAAGCGCCTCTGGAAGCACCAGGACACGACATGTCAAAACTTTCAGATGGGGCTAATATCGGCAATGATCCGTTCGCAGGTGTATCTAGCCTACGCGTACCGTACATCACAGACTCGGGAGCGGACTGGGGACAACTTTGCAAGGGATGTCAGGTCACATACAAGGACTTAAAGTATGGATCTCTGCCCTCAACTGTTCTTTCATTGTTGTGTCCCCCACACACGAGGCCAGAACGACCTGTTTTTGCCTTGACCACGAGAATACATTCGCGTCATGGGCTGCTAATTCACGCTGAGCAATGCTATGGAGCACGGAAGTTACTGAGGAACATGGCAGACTAAGAGAAAACCAATAATGTCCACTACCGTTCCATTGTTAACGATACACGAAAGTGACTGGTGCTCCGCGCCCTGAGTCATCTGTCAACTCAGCTGCCAGTTCCTCAACCTCAGCCTTGGCTTTCTTCTCATCGTATTGCTCAGCATGTTCAAAATCAATCATTTTGACGTTTCCGGTGGATTGTTCGACAATAAAGTTGTAGCGATTGGCGTCTCCATGGACAAACCCCAGCTTGTGCAACCTGCGCAATGCCGCCTCGCATTTCGGCAGATCAGCTAGGGTCGCATATTCGCCCTCTATCTTTTCCAAAAGGAAACCAATGTTTCTACCGCCCTCAAAGAGATGGCCTAGGACCTCAGGAGTCATCCTGTCCTCATCAGGGCTTTGTAACCTGGTCAAAGCTTCGTATATCCTGGTCTCGTGCTCAATCTGTGGAATGAGCCACTCGAGAATGGCAATTTTGGATATTGCAGTCTTGCCCCCATATTCGACTTCGCGAATGCGCTGCTTGTGATACTTGGTGCGTTTTAACGAAAGTATGTCGATATGTCGTGGATGCCAGGTGCATTCAATCTTATCCAGTGGTTCGAAAGAAATATCCGACTGAAGGCTGCCATCTTGGGCCCGCGTGATTCGCATCGTCGTCCAGTCTGTGTCTGGAAATGGAGGAAGCTCGGGGACGAGAAGATATGGTCTACAGAGGGTATCTTGTTCAAAAATGGGATTGGGACTCCCTGGGCCCGGGATTGTCACATAATGGACCCGGTTGCCGGCTCGAATGCGATAAAGCCCTTCGTCATCGTCGATTTCTTGGTTGAGGACTTCGATATTCGACTTCGGCACAATGCTGACTTGGTTTGAGACGGTGTCCGACATATTGATAATTGTATCGGATATACCGTTGAATGAAGAATTGGGGTGTTGTCAAGAAAGTTTTCTGGGCTTCAAGCTTGTATTGCCCCGCGATACCGAGCATCAACTTATTAAGCATGTTTCTCCACTACTCGTGCTAAGTAGCGGCATATGGTTCGAAACAAACTCTGATCTGGGCGCTTACGCCTCACTGGGGACTGGTTGTTCCTGGTGCGCGAAATGAATTGAGTTAGATCACATTGTGCGGAGCGGATACCCTAGATTAGGCTCAGGTAGCTGATAAGACTCCATTCACGTTATGTTCCTGGCGCGCGCGTACTGGCGTTTCATGGACTTGTACCAGCGGTTAATTTGAACAATCTAAAAATACGGCCGAATCATCATTTGCCTCGACGCGCTATACATCTTGTGATTTCGATACTAGAAAATGTACTGTGCTGTTAAAAGACTATTATAAGTAGCGCAACAGTTGATTGAAACTCACGAGAAAATTCAATTCATTTCCCAAGTCTACAATTTTCTCATACAACTTTGCCATATCTTCTTCTCCAAGTCGTTTGTGGTTCCTGTTACAGCCAATGTAAGTGACTCAATGTCAGTGACCAGTATCATCAGCTAACCCAGGATGCGTCTACAGACTGGAACAAGAAGCACCATGTGTGATCAAATTTACAATAGTTACAGGTGCGGCTGCACAAAAATTGGCGAATTCGAACAATGCGACGAGAAATACCAGGCGCAGTCTAATCTACAATGCGACACCCCAACTCGTGTTGTGAAAGAGTCTCGTAGCTACTGCGCCAAACATCTTGTCAAGGAAAGCAAAGCAAAAGACGAGTTCAGGGGGCGCATAGCTCGTTAGAGACATGCTGTCGCCCCCTGCACAGCTGGTCCCTTCAAGAGACTATGACTGCAGAATCCACGATGGATTGAAGTGTTTTTGTACGAACTTGGGAGTGTATTTAGGCAATTTCGATAGTCACAATGTTTGAAGAAAGATTTAGCCAGGTCATAGCCATACCTTGTCTGTAACGTAAAATGAATTTATGAGCAAAAGAGGCGGAGTGGCGGGAAATATCTGCCCGCTTATATTGTCTTTAAAATAAGTCACCTTAATCCACCTTTTTAGGAAGTAGACTATTATCTGCCTTTAGTATTACAGTATGTTAATATCTATCCTACCTTCATAAAGATATCTGAACGTATACGCTAGTATGTACCTACTGCTTGCAACTTTTGCTAAAGGTAAAAGGTTATTGCTGTATTTAATGTAGTGTAACGCATCTGCTGACCTTTGTAGATCCCGAGCGCAGATGCGTAAAATGCCCTTAATTGGCTATTCTAGAACCAAAAGCGGGCTTATCGTCAGCAGGGCGGCCGCCGAGTTACATCGAAATGCGGTAAATCAGCAGTCAGAAATTAGTCAGCCCGAGAAGTGCAAACTCGTAATCACAAAACACAGACAAGAGGAACCTCAAGTTGTGTTTCTTTGATGTTAGGGACATCGCTGTGCGAAAATGTGGCTGCTGAGCGTTTCGTTTGTACGAGTGGCAGCTCTGGCTATCTTTGCCGTTTGCCTGCACTTGATCCTCAAGACCTCACTCCGACCATACTTCTCAGACCTACGACATCTTCCAGGACCGAAGGTGAATTCTACCCGCCCATCACAGGCTACAATCTTCGAGGACCTTCAGTTTACTGACTTGGAAAGAACCATCAATTCTTAGTCGGCCATGCCTTGCGCATTCTGCGTGGATCAGGACCAAATGAGCTCTATCTCCAGTGGATGCGGCGTTGGCCGAACGCCCCGTTCATACGATGTCTATCCTGGCTGAACTCGGAGGTTCTCCTCGTTAACAGCATAGAGGCATGTCGTGAGGTGCTTCAAACTAATACCTACCGTTTCGCGAAACCGGCATTCTTTCATACGCTTGTTGGAGAGTTCCTGGGCGTTGGTCTGCTGTTTAGCGTCGGGGACCAGCACAAGCGGTTGAGGCGCATTACTGCAGGCAAGACCTGTTTTTCGTGCAATTTATGATCATGAAAACTAACTGTGGTAGGACCGCTGTCTCGTCCAAGCATTCGAAAGCTGCTCCCAACGTTTGTTGCATACTCTCGCAAATTGAACAGTGAAATCAATGCCGCGATCCAACAAAGCAGCGACGGCGTCTTGGAAAGTACGTATACACTTAGTCAATTCACCTCTCTGTATTATCTGACAACATCGCATCAGTCGAAGATCTTTTTACAAGGGTGACACTTGATATCATAGGTGTTTCGTTGGTTGGTAAAGAACTTCGAGACTTTCGCTCAAGGACCTCGCCTTTGTCATTTGAGCAGTGCTACAACGGTATCTTAGCTCAGCCACTTGCCGGCCAGATCATAAGTTTCATCAATCCCTTCATCCCACTCCGTTGGCTGCCTGTATCCGCAAATCTGAACTTTGTCAAGGCCAAATCTGCTCTCAAGGGTATGATGACAGAACTAATCGAGCAGCGGACATCCGAGGTAGAAAAAGCAAAGGAGTTGGGTACAGACAGTGGATTATCGGACGATTTGTTGACTAGGATGATTGAAGCGAGTTCTGTTGAGAACCAGAAGTTGTCTAAAGATGAGTTGATCGATATCGTGTGTAACTACCCTGACCTCCATTGGTATATCACTGACCGGTATTGCAGACTATGCAGGTCATCGCGGCGGGGCACGAGACTACAGCCAGTGCCCTTCTTTGGACCACTTACGCCCTTTCCCAAGACCAGAAGTCACAGCAAAGATTGAGGACTGAGATAATTAAGCTCAGTGCCAACGACATGACCGCCAAGTCGATAGACGAACTTCCATATCTCGACAACGTCATTAGAGAAGCTCTACGCCTGTACTCGCCAACCCTAATCATCCCATGGGAGGCACTAGAGGATATCGAAATAGCAGGCGTCAGGATCCCAAAAGGGACCACGGTTCAGCTCGTTCCAGCCATAACGCAGCTGAACCCCGAAATCTGGGGTCCCGATGTGGAAACTTTCAATCCTGATCGATGGGATCACCTTTCTGGCGATTCCTTGAGCCCATATGCTATGGAGACCTTCTCAAACGGGCCTCGCATGTGTCCAGGAAAAGCGTTGGCCTTGCTCAATATGAAGGTCTTGTTGGTTGGGTTGATCAAAGACTTTAAGATCGAGAGTACTGAGGATAATGAAGTGGAATTCAGAAACCCGAGTTTGACTTTGAAGTCCAAGAGGCCACTTCAGTTCAAGGTACAACGTATTGGTGAAGCACCTTGAGCGTGTCGAGGGGCAGAAACGGCAGAAGGTAGACCTGACAGTACTAAGAGGGGGGCAGCAGGGCTACAAAATGGACAACAAAGCATCAACGGATCGAGAAATGACAGTTTAGTTTAACGAGCTCATGCTATTGAATAGAAGATGTTGCGGATGGGGAGTTACCATCGATTCGACCGTGCGGGATAAGGCCAACTATACAAGTCGCGCTACTCTCCAGGGATTAACGATCAGATAACGAATCAACAAGCTTTATTTAAAATGTGTAAGCAATCCGAAGTCCCATTGATACGTTAGCTAAGGTTCTTATGTTAAAGTGAGAAATAACAAAACATTAAGGAAAGCATAACCTCTCGTAGCAAAGGTCCCAGGCAGTCTTGCTAAAATTAGAAGCTGAAAACACCAGATCAGCAACACACAGTAAATCATGAGATATGGCCGTAATTCCAAACAGACCACTACCAAAATAAGCATCAATTCTCAAGCTTATATGCGGGCCAGACCGCCTTGGCGAATGCTTATGCCAAAGCTTGTTGGCAATTGCCAATATTCTCAGCACTAATGCCGGACCATCAGAAGTCCCATCAGCACTAAATGTTCAGCTCGAAATATGAAACCCTTTTGGGAAGCTTCATTTTTATGGTGAAACTTGACTTCTTTATAAGACCTGGCCAGGTCCTCACTTTTGAATAATCCATTCTTCTCATCCATAGTATCATTTCCCCTCTGCATATGCGAGTTTCCCTTTCGCCATGTCGGACGCTGGTAGAGATACTCCCGTGGAGATGAAGCCACTTCCAGAGGCACAGACTAGACAGAACTTCTCTGGCCTCGACACTCCTCCGAACCAGGAATACCTCCCCTCGCCCTCGCCTCCGGTACATGACGGGATGAATGATAGCAACTACTTCAGCGGTCCCCGCGATCTCCGCGGTCATTCCAAATGGCCACTCATCCTTCAACTCCACGGCTCAATCATGCCGTCACTCATCATCCCTCTTTTCCTTGTCGCATGTTGGTCCACTGCTATCACCGTCATTTCTAAGAAAGTTCATGATCTGAGCGTCAACTCTGTTCTTCTCACCATCCTCGGCTTCGTCGTCGGTCTTAGTCTTTCCTTTAGATCATCAACTGCTTACGAGCGCTACGCTGAGGGTCGTCGATACTGGGGAATGCTAGCTACTGCCTCGCAAACTCTCGGACGAATCATCTGGATCCATGCAACGGATACTGGCGCTGATGGTCAGGATACCAGAGAGCTGCTTGTCAAGAAGCTTGGAGCACTGAAGCTCATCGCTGGGTTTGCTGTTGCACTGAAGCATACGCTTCGCTTTGAGCATTGTGCGAGTCAACCTGATATGCAACCCTACATAGCCCACCTCGACACATTCTCTGGACGTACAACAGCCGTGCCAAAGCGAAGAGTTACCAACTTCAAACAAGTGGCTGGTGAATATCTGGGGCTCTCATTCGCGCAGAGTGATCCCCGCAAGCACCTCAAGAGAGCCGAAGAGCACCAAGGAAATCTCCCACTTGAGATACTGAACCATCTGGCCATTTCTGTCGACTGCCTCGTGGCAAATAAGCAGCTGCCCGTCGCCATCCACCAAACTGTCGCGTATAATCACATCACCATGCTTAACGATGTAGCAGTCGGGTGTGATCGAGTGCTCAATACCCCCTTGCCGATTGCATACACTATCGCCATCAGTCAGATCACGTTTGTGTATGTTATGCTGTTGCCGTTTCAGTTGACTGGTCCTCTTGGCTGGATAGCTATCCCAGCTACCATCACTGCAGCATACATTATCTTTGGTCTGTTATTCATTGGACAAGAGATCGAGAACCCATTTGGTCGTGATGTTAATGACCTGCCACTTGAGACTTTCTGCGATCAGATTGCAACCGACCTTGATATCACTGCTTCATTCGACCGCCGTGGTGCTGACCATTTCTTGCTTAATGGAACACCGCTGTATCCTGTCAGTGTTGCGCCGGGTAATGCGTGGATGGATAGTAGTGAGGAGAAGATGAGGGAAACGATCAAGACTAAGCCACATGTTCTGTTCAGCTGGCGACGCCAGAGATCTCGTGATAATGCTTCCAAGGAGATGGATGGGAAGATCGTTTAAACGCGTTCCCCCGTTCGTCTCAAGGAGAAAAGGGTTTCACTCCGGCTTTCAGAGAAAGTCGTTGACCTGGTCATTAAGTTTGACTGAGTCATATCCAGAGCCTTCGGCATCTGTAGTAATAGTTGAGAACGACATTGCATGCAAGACAAAGTCCATCATGTCTACCAATTAGATTTAGAAATCTTTTATTGGTGATAATCCAAAAGTCTAGCTTTTCTCGGGGCCAAATCGCTTTCATTTGTAGGCCTACGTGAACAAGAGAACGTACAAGTTTAGAAGAGGTGAAAGAACAAATATTATTCAATCTGGATTGGAGATCACATTACTAGTCCTGATAGCCCTTTGATGTCCTTTGTCATCCTGAAACGTCCTGTCGTACCCCAGATAATCGTGGTGTGATCCTCAGAAGTCCATTTCGACATTCCCTGGCCTTAATCCTCGTCGATCCATGCCTTATTCATCGCCACCAGCTTCACCCCCAATACGCACAACCAACTTCCCTTTAGTCCTGCCCCCCTTCAGTCTTGCGTAAGCCCTTCCCGCATCCTCCAGCCCAAAATTCTCCTCAATAGCAGCCTTTACCTTACCTTCCTTCATCCAATCCGCAAGGTGTCCAAAGTCTTTCCTGTTCGCCGATACAGAGTGATACTTGAACTTTCTCTTCCCACCACCCAGCCATCTCGGTAACATACTGATAGCGAAGAGGGCTTTGAAGGTCTGAAAGCGTGGCGGCAGACCGACGCAAACATACTGCCCCTCGGGCTTGAGATACTCATGGGACCGCCAATAAAGATCTGGATCGTTGAAGACCGTATCGAGAATGAAGTCAAACTTGTCTTTTTTCTTCTTGAGCACTTCAATCGGGTCTTCGGATTTGTAGTCAACAGTCTCATCGGCACCAAGGCTTCGACAGAAGTCAGCATTGGAAGCGGAGCAAGTGACCATGACATGAGAACATCCCAGAGCTTTCGCAACTTGGATGGCAAAAGCGCCAACTCCTCCACTGCCACCATTAATAAACACCCTGTCACCCTCTTTCACGAACGGCGACATACACTGCAAAGCCGTCGTTCCACAAATCCCGACGCAAGCCGCATCTCTAAGTTCAACACCATCCGGAAGAGCCGCCATCCCCTTACTCCCAACAACAACATACTCCGCAAGAGTTCCACCAATCGGTAACTCTGTCCTCCCAAATACCTTCTGGCCAGACTGAAATTCATTCAACGTCGTGGAGACAATTGTGCCAGAGAAATCAAGACCTGGCGTGACGGGTTTGGAGAATATGAGGCTCGCGAGAGGCATTTCGGCAATTTTGTAGTCGAGATGATTGACCGATGCGTATGCGACTTTAATAAGGGTTTGTCCTTTCGGAAGCGATGAAGCATTTTTGGGTAGTTTGGCGTCGGTGACGAGGGTGAGATTCTTGTCGATGCCGCCTTTGATTGAGCGCCATTGTGCAGCGCGCATGGTAAGAGGGAGGGTGCTATTCGATGCCATAGCTGCAGTTTCTGACACGGACTAAAACCAAGTATGATTATTACGAATCGCGATTCGACATTACATCAAAGCCGTTGGCGAGATCTTATAGACTCGCGGGCCTTTGGGGTTATGGCTGACGACAACGTGTTGGTGGCACATGATCAGGTGCTGTCGTCTTGGCTGAGGTGGTCTGATTGGCGATCTACCAATTGAGAATCAGATGTCAGATTCCGTGCCATTAGGTGGTCTGTTAAGCTTAAACTACTGCTAGTAGTCATATTTCACTTGTGCTCGTAGCTGTTGTCAGAAATGTCCTGATAAGTCTGGTCTCATGATTTCTTGCTCTCATTCAAGAGGGTTGCTATTGACCGGGCAGATCGGACCCCGCGGCAACTCAAAGCTTGGCAATCTGTGGGCTGATGAGAGCGGAATGCATGGAGAAACTTCTAAACCGACGGCGTAATAAAGGTTTCGTGATCACAAATGTTTTACTGACATTTATGCGCGGATCGTTAACGTCGGCCGGATTCGAATAATGCGTTGACTTCAAGGCATGTCAATCAAACCGAGTCACTTATGCAAGAAAGGGAATCCAGGGAGCAATGATCGTGTATTCATTGTAAAAATTGAAGAAGAATGAAGTAAAGTCTATCTGAAACCATCTCCTCCAAATGGGGATAGAGATGGTTGTTTCGGGAGTTGAAGACTATCCAGCTGCCTTTCAAGCCAGCTCCCAGAGCAAGTCGTCATCCATCTAGGCAACAACTGCTAGTACCAGAAATCAATCTAGCTCTAAGGGTAGTGAGTGTATCCGTCCTCACCAGGCTGGATAGTTCCATTGGTAATAGCCGCAGCATGACCGCGAGCCATGTAGCCAGCAGCAGGGTAGTACTGTCCAAGCCAAGGGTAGATCTCCTTGGCACCAGGCTTGTTCCTCCAGTCGCGCATCAGCTCACAAATAATGGAAAACAGACTGACGACCTGAACGCCAGCATCGCGCATGCGATCGTTGGAAATGTCGCGGATGAGAGCAGTTGTAGTGCCGGATGCCTCCATGTTGGCCCAGACGGAGTAACCGGCTTCACGGAGGGAGAGAGCGAGGAAGGTGGTGCAGACATCGGTGGTGATACCGGCGAGGATGACCTGTGACTTGTTGGTGGCCTTGAGGGCATCACGGAATTCTTCGCTGTCCCAAGCGTTGACTTGGCCTTGGCGCTGGACGAGAGGGGCCTTGGGGTACATTTCACGGATCTCTCGCATGAGAGGACCATTGGGGCCTAACCTGTCAGTAAGAATCTCAGAGATGTGTTCGAGTTAAAAACTTACCCTGATCAGCGGAGGTAGTCAGGATAACAGGCAAGTCGAAAGCCTGACCAATGGCAGCGTGGGCCATAGACTGGTGATGGTACAGAGTAGGATCCCAATCTCTGGTCAACTGGTAAAGGCCTTCCTGGATATCGACCACGAGGAGAACCTAATTGTTTTAGCATACTGAAGAAGCAGAGAGTACCGGGAAACTAACGGCATCGTTCTTGTCAAGACGCTCATACTTGAAACCGCTCTTAGCAAGAGCAGAAACAGTGAGGACGCCAGCGGCGATGATGGAACTGAACTTCATTGTCGAAAGGCTTGAGTTGCAGGTTGGTACTGAAGCTGTGAGATGGCTGTTGAACCTGAAGAACTTCCTCCAACTTGGGTTGATACACAGCTATATATACTCAATAACTGAACCTCGAATACTTCACATGCACGTTCTGGATTCTGCATACTGCAATCTTTGCATGCTGTGTGATCCTAGAGTGAAAGGTCCTTGATCCCAATCTCAATCCATGCTCAAATGCACAGTCGGAAATGAAGTCCGCCTCAGTCGGCCGAAGCTATCCTCACGCATATTGGCTCAAGCCACCGCGACGCCACGAGGAGCTATACGAATATGCATAAGGTCGGCCCGCTGCGAAGGTGTGCCGTAAGCCTTTGGCGCGGGTTTGTCATCATGCAGCGATTCCTCGTCCCCGCTTCGTGCAGGGTTTAGTAAGCTGTAGTCACCATCTTTCTCAGCAAGATGCCCCAGTTTGGTTGCTACGCCCATGCCAAAAGATGGAGATCTACCGACGGTTAGTGTTTAGTCGGGAAGTTATTGACCGTTGAGTTGAGGTTATTTTTTCGTGGCTTGATGATGTTATCGTGGCGGGTCGGCATTGAAGTTCGCCCTGGTTCGAATCTTTTCGGGGCATGGCAAGGATCCCGATGTCCCGATTGGCGGAGGGAAGCGATGGCACATTTCGAAGGCCTCGGTGAGAAACTCCTCACTGACGCATGCTTTGATAATCTTTGTTGTCCAATACAAATTGTAGCTGAGGTCCAATTGCCCCTCTTCTGTGTCTGTAGTGTAGCGGTTCGGTGGGGAAGATACATATCAGCATGGATGAGAACCCTTGGACCCTCCATTTCGATGGGAGATGGCATTATGCATGTGACATGCAGCACTTGGGCTTCGGCCCAGGTCGAGCTCATGGATAAGTCCTCCAGTGACAGTATTTCGTTGCGTGACAAATACCAAAGAGGGTTCACGTTGCATTGCCTTTCTGTGTAACCCGACGACATAGCGACAAGTCCCAGTGATTTGGAATGCTTAGATGTGACAACTAAGCTGTTGGATAGGAGAGTTTGCTTCAACATGTTGTTTGACTGTTCAGAACATCTATGCACATGGGTTGCCCAATTGTTGCTAACATTATTGATTGATAGTTAAAGCTTATGACATCTCAACGAGACGTATATCATGTTGGTCGTCTAGCCTTTTCAGTGTCCTAAATAAATTAGATAAAGAGAATACGTCCGTTATTTAATCGAAATGTATGCTCTACTTGGTCGACAGTAGGGTAGGAGATCGGCTCTAAAGAAGACCATTACGTTATGAAAGTGACGTTGGTGTTGATAAGTGGGCCAGACTTGACTCAAATATTTGAAAAGGCTTGATCTATAGAGTGGCGAAATCTTGAGCCCTCAAGAGAGACTGCTATTAGGCACGAGGCTTTCCTGTCTTGAGAGTCAATTTTTATTTGAATGATAGAGCTGAAGCTTGGATCAGGCCCTGAGCAAATAGTCTCAACCTAGAGTTATTTATATGCTCAACTGTGAGAGAGGTCAAAAGTGATAGTGATACCGCATTGAGGCTTACTACACGTACATACTTAACCTTATACTGAAACCATTAGTACTAATCTCAATCTTGAACCTCAGCATCTTTCGTCGGACCCATCTGCGCAATCAGCTCGTCTAACTTATCCTGTATATGACCTGTCTCATCAACCTCTCCCCAGGCCATCACACTCGCTGCCTTGGCTTCAGTCAGCCATGCCACCGCCAAAGCCAGGTTCCCAGCGCACTCGCATATCTTTGCAATATCCTCCATAGTATACACCGCGCAATCATCATGGAACATGGGGTCTGGGTTTGGAGTTTCAACATGCTGCTGCCCAACTATATCAAAACAAATGCTCAGAGCTGCTGGCCAATCTTCTTGGTCGATGTATACATGCTCAACGTGCCTTAGCAGCTTGCGTTCCTGTAAAGAATTAGGTCCTAACAGGCTGCGAAGAGCACGCACTCCGTCGTTGGCTATCCGTAGAGATTCATCGTAATCCTCACTCCGGCGCAGAAGGGCGCAGAGCCTTGATGTGGCGAGCTGGGTGAGTTCGTGGGCAGGTCCAAGAGTCGCGCGTAAGCGATCAACCACTGATGTGAGCGCACGCAAAGAGACGTTTTTGTCGCCTTTGTCTTTCCTAAGCGTGGCTATGACCAGAGAGATGGGGTGTTGAGGATGCAATTGAGTGCGCGCGAGCTCATTGATATATGTAAGAACAGCATCTCGTACAAAAGGGCATGTCGTGGTATTGACAGGAGACAGGGTACTCAGCAGCTCGATGATAATGGTCGCGGTGCCCTCGTGGAATATGGCAGGAGAGCCGGCGGTTGAGTTTTTCAAGAGTCGAAAACCTCGAGTCTGGCTCTGACTTGAACCGCGCGCATCACCCTTTGCGACTTTCATGAGGTATATCGCAAGGTTGGTGTCTTGCCAGAATTGAACCTTTTTTACTGGTGCCGATGGATTAAAGTTCCCCGTTGTATAGAAAGTCCGTATGCTAAAAAGAATAGACTCGAGGTTGGAGCTTGGACGCGGGCTGCGAGTTAGTAAATTTGGGCCTACAGCACTGGAGGTTCCGAGATAACGGCGCATCTGCTCCGCTCTTTCTTCTGATAGTCTCTTGTCCTCCGATAGTCCTGAGTTCAGCGTTGTCCCCGAAAGACTTGTTGATGATCTGCTGACAATTTCCCAACTGCCTTCCCTGGTGCGTTCCATTTGCTCCGGCTTCACGGCGCGGTCCTTGCGAGATGATGTTTCTAGTGAAATAGTATGGGCTTCTTGCATCGATACAGTAAAAGTCTGGAAATCTCTCCGCAAAGAATCCATTTGCGTCTCAAGGCTAGAGAAGCCCTGTACTGAAGTCGTATTGGTAGCTGTTATGAGCTCGTTGGTGGCTAATTGGACTTCAAGTCCAACAACGCCTAGTTCCCGAACCATCTCAATATTGAGCCTATTTAACCTCTCTAATTTTTGCGAAAGTTCCTTCTCGACCTTGAGCGAGATAATGGAGTTCCAGAGTTGGCTCATCGCCTTTCTCTTGCCCTGTCTATCGGAGAATAACGGCGTTATCATGTTGTGGATTTCTTGTAAAACTGGGTGCAGAGAATCTGCGATGCTGACGAGACGTTTTTCTTGGACTGGATCCAGATTGCCAAAGGCGTGTGAGCCTCCCCTACAACTGTAGCAAAGCCTGGATATGGAGTCATCCACTTCTCGCAGGAGTTGTGCCAGCTGACCGGGGACTTCCTGCAAGTCTTGTAACAGCTTTATGGTGGCTAGCAGAGCTTTTCCAGCCGCCGAAACAAGTTGAAGCCCTGCTGCGACACCGCCGACTATGGAGAGAGGGTCGGCCATGGTTAGGAACAGGGAGGGCTGTCCGTCAATAAAGTTCTTGGTGTTTTCAATTCTTCCTCGTCGATGGTTGAAAAGAGAGCGGATGAGTTTCCGATGTCTAAAGATACTGGGCGGGGAAATGATAAACGTTGATCACTGGAGGGGTAAGGATTTCTTAAATACTGGTGGGGAGGCCAACCAACTGTCGTAAGCGTGGAATTATTATGCTGGGTGCAGACGCTCTAGTCAGGCTGGAGCTGATCTGACATGCATACGTGGTTCCATAGCCATTGCGCATCAGCGCATAGCCACCCACAGCCACCTTTACTGGATTGGCGGGCATTGGAGGCTATACAGACTTTTGGAATAAGTCTGAGCCATCCGCGATGATGGCCCATATATCTTCCTACTATTATTACCGACTTTTATTCGCTATTAGTAACGAAGCTTCAGCCAAAAACACATCTAAATGTTTGCATGCTAGACTCAGGCATTGTTCTCGTTCACACAGCTGAGGTAAGGCGCGCGATGCAAACCTCGGCTGTCAGATCTATCAAGTCAAAATAATACTATCAAATAAAACATGCTAAGTATCTACACAATCGTCCAAGAGTCGACAACTTCAAAACGCGCATAGCCTTCCTGCGTCCCGCACCAATATAGACCATACGGTACATACTCCACTATCAGCAGCAAAGCTCAAACAAAATCGAATCCTCATATACCGTTCCATGGAGGCCTCGAATGGGTGTGGTTGGCTAGTGAATAATGACCTTGCTAACTGGCAGCTTGTCTTCTGGGATGCGATATCGACCCCGATCCGTAACAAGATTTAAATCATCCGGATAGAAGGCCTTTGGATTCTCAATGAAAAAGATTCCCAGCCTCTCAAAGATTATCTTTCCCGGATAGAGCTTTCTAAGAAGCAGTCCTTCCTCAGAGGTAAGACGGAGCGCCCACATTTCCCGAGGATTGCTCGAGGTCTGCTGGTCGAAAAGCCCCGTCGCTGCAATGAGCGACCAGTTCGAATTGGGGTCTCCACGACCTTTAATCAAAGGCCGTCTCTCGCTGGCTTCCAGACGGAACGTGTGCTTGTTCAAGGCATCCCGCGGATAAAGCTTGCAACGCACACCATGATCAGGATGATCTTGGGTTTTGTATTGTGAAATGCGCAGTTCGCGCATGTAGCCGTAGACCTGGAGCTCGTATGGGTCTGGGAAGTGTTTGAGCTCGACAATATTGTACTCCCATCCCTCAGGGTTCTGACACCAACTATTAAGTTTCAGATTGCCTGGTTTGCAACATGGTGTCCCGTACCGTGCAAATCCGGCGAGTTCATCTGTTTTCGCGCCAGCTCCTTGGCTGATGGGTCCGACGAGTGCCATCCACGACCACGATGGCGCTTTTCTGATAGTCTTCTTCTTGTACTCAGGAACTGTGAGTGCTGGTAAGTGAACGTCGACGATACGCCGACTTCTCCACAGTAATCCGCATATCATATCACATTCCCACAGACCAGCCATGTACCTATCTGATCCACGTCCAAATCTGCTAATGAGGGCCTGCTTGAACAGTCGGACGACACCAGAGAGAGCGGCGTGGTTGTCGGAGGGGTCATAGAAGCTCTTTGTAGAGTA